ACACACGCTACACACACTGCCCCACAAACACTGCCCCCATACACACACTACACACACTGCCCCACAAACACTGCCCCCCATACACACACTACACACACTGCCCCACAAACACTGCCCCACAAACACTGCCCCGATACACACACTGCCCCACAAACACTGCCATCATACACACTGCCCCACAAACACTGCCCCCATACACACACTACACACACTGCCCCCCAAACACTGCCCCCATACACACACTACACACACTGCCCCATACACTTCCCCCCATACACACACTGCCCCACAAACACTGCCTCCATACACACACTACACACACTGCCCCCATACACACACTACACACACTGTCCCCATACACAAACTACACACACTGCCCCCCATACACACACTACACACACTGCCCTTATACACACACTACAAACACTGCCCCCATACACACACTACACACACTGCCCCCATACACACACTGCCCCTCCATACACACACTACACACACTGCCCCTATACACACACTACACACACTGCCCCCCCATACACACACTAGACACACTGCCCCATACACACACTACACACACTGCCCCCATACACACACTTCCCCCCATACACCCCCTACACACACTGCCCCCATACACACACTGCCCCCCATACACACACTACACACACCTCTCTACAAACCCTGCCCCCCATACACACACTGCCCCACAAACACTGCCCCCCATACACACTGCACACCCATACACACACTGCCCCACAAACACTGATCCCATACACACACTACAAACACTGCCCCCATACACACACTACCCCAAACACACACTCACACTGCCACTCCCACACACACTGCCACCCTCACATACACACTGCACTGTTCACACACACACACACACACTGCAGCTCTCTCACACACACTGCCCCACACATACACTGCCCCCAACACAGACACTGCAACCCTGACCTACATTGCCGCCATCACGCACTCGCACACACACACACTGCACCTTTCACACACACTTCACCCCTAACACATACCACTGCTCCTATGCCATATATCCCTGCAGACCCCAGGTAAGTTGTCAAACTGTTCTTAAACGGTTTGATTACTTAGTCTGGGATGGGATCCTGGCACTACTGGCGCCATAACTACTACACTGAGCTGTAGTGGTTATTGTGCCTGGATTATTTCTTTAAATAATCTACAAGTGCCCCTCCTGAGATCAGGCTCTGGATCCTCCACTGTCTCATACACTAGTTTAAATGAAGACATATGAAAAAGGCTAGAATTTATTTACACTATAGACTTGCATTGGTTGCTAGCATTTGGAAAAACAGAGACATAGCAGTTATGTCTATATATTGCAATTCATGAATACTTAAAAAGAATCAGATTACTTAATTATTATTTTTTTAATGTTTTTTTTCTTTTATTTATTGCAGACAATTTGGGGACATGGTTATATATTATTTGACATTATATACTATATTTTGTTTTTAGCTTAATCTCACATGTTCCAGACAATTACTATTAAAGTACATATATGAATTTTGCAATATACAGTTGCTATGATAGAATAATTATATCGTTAATGTTCTCAAAAGTGTTTGTGTAAGTGTTTGTAAGGATTCTGCTTGTATTTTGGGAATACAGTTTTACACAATGCCAAAATAATAAAAAAGGTATGTCAGCATAATGTAACAATCAGTAAAAACAGTTACCTTCTTTCTATTATAGATTCTACTGGGACCTCACCATGTTGCTTCTGATGGTAGGTAACCTCATCATCATTCCAGTTGGCATCACTTTCTTCAAGGAAGAGAACACACCTGCCTGGATTGTCTTTAATGTGGTATCCGATACTTTTTTTCTTGTGGACCTGGTGCTCAACTTCCGCACGGGCATCGTAGTGGAGGACAATACAGAAATCATCCTGGAGCCACAGCGTATCAAAATTCGATACTTGAAGAGTTGGTTTCTTGTTGATTTCGTTTCATCCATCCCTGTGGACTACATCTTCCTGATTGTAGAGACACGCATTGACTCAGAGGTATACAAGACCGCCAGGGCCCTAAGAATTGTCCGTTTCACTAAAGTGCTCAGCTTATTACGGCTACTAAGACTTTCAAGGCTTATTCGTTACATTCACCAATGGGAGGAGGTAGGTCTGCACTAATCTGAACACCTTTTGTGACATTTGATTATTGTGAAAGTCACTTTAAACACTGCTTTCATGAGGCCGAGGGGTAATTCATTTTCAGCCCGTCCTCATCTGCTACTGCAGATTGTCATCCTATGACCCTATCTAATGTATTTCACTTATTTACTGCTCAGGCTGTAGTTTTTGTAATTATGTCTTCATGGCCAAGCTCAGTTCGTGGTATGATCATTTGCAGATCTTTCACATGACCTATGACCTGGCGAGTGCTGTGGTGCGTATTGTGAATCTGATTGGAATGATGCTGCTTCTATGCCACTGGGATGGCTGCTTGCAGTTCTTGGTACCAATGTTGCAAGAGTTCCCCGATGACTGCTGGGTATCTTTAAATCATATGCAGGTGAGTTACCCACGGTATTCTCAAATATTTCATTTTTAACAATTGAATCAGTCAATGCAGATTAAACCATATAAAATTACCAACAGAAACTAAAATGGGTAGTAATGCCGTAATATAAATAGATTTTATATAACCTTGATATATTTTAAACTGAAGTTGCATTGGAATTGGCTCTAAGATGTGCTCTATGCCAAAGCAGGATTCCAGCTGTAATTCATGTTATGGTCCATGATTAGAAAATCAATACAAATAATAATAAAAACGTATACCAGGAAAGGTACATTCAGATTACTCTGGTTTACAAGTACTTCCTGGGAGAGGTTATACTCTTACCCAATTTAATGGTACTCATTTTATCTACCTTAGAAGGATGAAGGGCAGAGTTTGGATTTTAACCTGCAACCCTCAAGGGTTGAACAGATTCTATCGATGATGCATTAGCCGACTGTGCTATCTCACCAGAAGATTAACACTTGCTCACTCCCAGTCAAAGGAACACTCCAGATACAGAAAACACTTTAGTTTGTTGACGTTCTTTATGTCTAAATTCTTGCTTTTTTTTTTTTAAGTGCCAATTTCAATAGAAATCAGTACTTTTCCAACAGGGGACAGACATTTTTCCCATGCTGTCAGACAGCCAGGAAGGTTTTCTTCGGCTTTCATTAGCTCCACACAGAAAATAGAAGCGGCAGGCCGATTTCCCTCCTTTTCATTGAGCTGTGCTACAGCTTATTGAGAAGCATTGAAAAGCCGCAATCGCATGCGTTTGTGTGTGTCTGCAGCTCCATCCTAAAGGGTTTTCAGTGAGAAGCTTCTGATTGGTGTATTCCTCAGCAAACAGAAAGTCTGTGTCTGGAATAAAGGGAATGACTTGCAAAGGCTGAAGACATCAGGTTTACAGCTTCTGCAAGCTATTTTTTCATGTACCCAATCCAATCATAGAAATCCCAATGCAACTCAGTGAGAAGTCTTTACAAGGCAGGTGCTCTGCTCAGTTGCTGCTTCTTGAGATATCTCCACTGAGCTATACAAACCAGGAAGTAACAAAACCTCTTCTCTGATTGACAACTTGGGGGTGTATTGAGTGGTGTATTTTGAATCTGTTCTGTCCTAGGCATGACAGAACTCGGGCACCCCTTAATTTAAATTTACCCCACCCCTTCCTCTCAAGGCCACACCTCTTCCTGTTAAAGGCTAACAGACACTTTGACAGACATACACTCTCAGATACACTGACATACACACACACACTCACTGATTTGACACAATCTGACGGACACAGAATCACTGAGAGACATGGACAAACTCACTGACAGACACACACACACTGAGTGGCATACACAATCACTCAGACACACACACACATACACACACACATTCACTGACAGACACACATGCTCACTCACTCACACACAATCACTCAGACACACAGGTTCCCTCACAGAGGGTTACAAGACATTTGCTTGGGCATTTTGGGGCGGCATTTTTTGGTCTGGGTTTAAGTAGGAAGAGGGAATGGGAGCCCTGCCATGAGCAATGGTCTATGGGCCTCTTTAACTGGATGGCCCCCTTAGGATAGTAGGTGTCCTCGCCCCCTTTGTGTGTGGGATGCTATGTTGGTTTGCCCCTCATCTAGTTGTTCCCCACAATGCTCCCAGATCTGGGATGGGTTCTCCAGGGTTCTAACACCCTGATGGGATCTTATAGCATGTGAGGGACACCCCAAATGTCACAAAGGATGCTTACTGAAGGTGAGGTGGGCCAAAGGCTAGACAAGATGCTCCTCTCTTTGTCGACTAACATCTTTATTCTAATATAGTCTACTAAAATTCTGGAGATTTAGCTGACTAAAACTAATACAATTCAGATAACTAAAATACGACTTAAACTAGAATGGCCTTTTAGTCAAAAGACTATGACTAAAACTAAATTTATATTTGCCATCAAAATTAACACTGCAACCCACGTGGAGTGGTTGCAGAGGCCATGTGGGTAAAACACATGGGGGCTGAGAGAATGAGACACATGGGGGGCTGAGGGATTGTGACACATAGGGGTTAGGGGAATGAGATACATGAGGGGGCTGGGGGAATGAGACACATGGGAGGGCTGGGGGAATGAGACACATGGGGAACTGGGGGAATGAGACATATGGGGGCTGTGGGAATGAGTCACATGGGGAGCTGGGAGAATGAGAAACATGAGGGGCTGGGAGAATGAAACGCATGGGTGCCTGGGAGAATGAGACACATGAGGTGGCTGGAGGAATGAGACACATAGGGGCTGAGGGAAGGGAAAAAAAGGGGGGACTGGGGTAGAAATGAGCACATAGAGAGGCTTGCGGGGATTGAGACATATGGAGGTGCTGAAGGAAGGAATTGAGACACATGGGGAGCTGGGGGAATGAGGCATGTGGATGAGATGAGATGCATGGAGGGGCTGGGCAACACACAAAGCAACATAGAAGGGCTGGGGGAGAAAGAGGCAAGGTACTGGGATGAAGAGATACACAAGTAGTGCTACTGAGAGAAAGAGACTCACAGAGGGGCTGGAAGCGAGGCAAAGAGCCACAAAGAGGCTGGGGAAGGGGCAAAAGAGACAGACAGGGACTTGGGGGGTTAAAACCCAGAGGGGCCGGGGGGACACAATAAGACACAAAAGAGCTGGGGAAGGGGCAAAAGAGACAGACCGGGACTTTGTAAAAAGACACGCAGAGATGCTGGGGAACAAAGAAGGTCTGGGAAAGGTGCAAAAGAGACAGAGGCTTAAATTAAACCCATTAGATTTTAGTCATGTCAACTAAAGTCTATTGGAGATTTAGTCAACAAAAAACAGACTAAAACTAAAACAATTCAGATGACTAAAATACAACTAAAACTAAAATGACTTTTTAGTCAAAAGACTATGACTAAAACGAAATTTAAATTTGCCATCAAAATTAAAACTGCAAACCATGTGGAGCGGCTGCAGGGGCCTGCGGATGAGGAGCGAGTGTGGCGTACCTTGTACTCGCGGTGCGCCACCGAAGAACTGTGGACCTTGCCGATGGCCAGGAAGAGAGCTTGGCACATCCCTCACTCCCAAGACTCAGAGATCCACGTGGTGTCCTGTGAGTGAGTGAGTAAGTGTGGCCCACCTCCTTCTCCCGTCACGCAGTGAAAGCCTCCTCCTTGGAGTCTGAACCTAGTGCTCATTCAGAGGATTTGCAGTTATTCTGGATGTTGTGTGGGTTTAATTTGTGGAAATTTCTTCTCCTAGGGTGTGTGGGTTCAACGTTTGTGTCTCCATTCTGAGCCCCTTATGTTTTTTTTATAAGGTTCACAGTCTTGTTGACTGAGAATTCCTTTTTGTCAAAAGTAAAGTCAAGGAGAGATTGTGGCATAGTTTGGATATTGTTTCTTTCTCTCAAATTTTATGTTAGGCCTTTTAGGATATTTTTTTGGGCACTCTTTGGGTCAAAATTCTTCAGCTGTTATTCTTGCCAGTTGGCTCAAGTTCATGATCCTGAGGCTTTCACCAGGCAAGGTCACTGCTTTTTCTACAAACTTGGTGGCTACCTTGTGGGCCTTTCATCATGAGGTTTCCATGGACCAAATCTGCAAGGCAGCCACTTTGCATACATTTCCAAATATAGTTTTGATGTTTTTGTGTCCATTGCGTAGCATTATAGGTGTTCCTTTCTCCTCCAGTTGGGAGAGGCTATATATCAGAAATATCATAAAGTGTGGGCTCTCACCATCTAAAAGGAAATAAATTGGACAGATAAAATACAAATGTTTGTACTACTGTACACAGTGATGTAGCCATCACGAGGCAAACAAGGCATTTGCCTTGGACGTCACTTTGCAGGGGGCAGCAAAAAAAGCCGCCCCCAAACGCCCAGGCAGATCCCTTGTTTGCCTCGTGTCCTGAGTAGCTCAAGAGCTGGCCACTTTTGAGGCCCCCCCTCCCCCCCTGAGGCGGGCAGCGAGGGAGCATGCTCACCTGAGCCCTGCTCAGCTCCCTCCCGCGCCCCTTAATGAAGCCTGGACCCGGAATATGACGTCATTCCGGCCCTCAGCATCACTAAGTTTGAATAAGAATATAGTGCAAATCACTACAGCTATTGATTGGCTCCGAAGTTTGCTAATAATAAATTAGCATCTGTCCTATTATATTGTTTAGTGAACAATATGCTCTCCACAAGTGTATTAATTTTGCCTTTCAGAATGCAGAAGCTGTAATAGACTTGCAAAATGAAATTTTATGTAAAGACATTGCAAAGTTGCCGTGCACCCTGGTCACGGAATGCACATGCAGCATCAAAATATGTTACTCTTCCAAAATGCAGCAAACCGTATCATGTAGTGTTGGATATGGACCAGTGTAACCTCACACCTGTGGAAATATTTATTTACGATCTGATCAATACACTGTTACAAATCCAATTTAGCTCAGTGATGATGTTTAGAGATGTGAACTGATTCAAATTTCAAGGCAAACCATGTATATTACTCTCCAGAAAATGAGAGGGAGGGAGTAATATAAAAATAGCAAGTAAGAGCATGTTAAATAACAGTGTTTCAAATACTAAATAGCTGTACCATACACACCTGAACAAAATGCAGCGGCAGAGAGGACAACGCGGATAGCAGTGAAGATGATTAGATTGCATCTACTCCAAAGATACTAATGAGGACCTATAATGATGCTGACTTAATTACGTAACTGTCTGTGTTTTATGTCTGAGCACTCCATTAAATATAAAATGTGTCAAAGGCATATTAATGTGTTTAGATGTACATTTTACTTGTTTGAGACTGTTAAACAGGAAAACTGTTAAACTTGCTGCTAGTCAGTTTATGCCACGTGAAAGACTGTGAGGACTTTATAACATATAGACATGTCCTTTTTTACAAAAAGTGAGCAAAAATTGTCTTAATACTGCTCTAGGAAATGTAAATCAATACCACCGGGGTAAAAGATGGCAGGAAGGGGCAAATAAATAGAAAGGTATGAAATATGAGGAATGATCAATGCATGGGGCCATGATACGGTAGAGAGGGACGATTAAATAGGGGTATATGGGATGGAAAGAAAGGGTAGTGAAATGTGGGGATAAGAGATGGGAAGAAAGGGCAAGGGAATGGTGTAGAAGAGATAAGAGTAAAGGACAATGGAAGGGTTACACTAAGAGCAGGGGAGGCAGGAGGACATAAGCAACATTTACACTAACAAGGAGTAATTATACTTTGCCGATATCTAGCATTGGCTTGCGCCAACATTGGCCAAACGATAGAGCCTCAAAACCCTATACACATCCTAAGAACATCCCTAGCCATAGATACTAATACAAGACAGAAAAGCAAAAGGAAACTCTTACAACAGTAAATCAACTGAAATGGAATAGAAAAACAATCTGCACTATGCGCCTTCTCCAGGACGTGGAGCAAATGGCACAAAGTGGATTCCATGTTTTTGTAGAGTAGGTCTCTGGACCATGTGGACTTCTCCTCCAAACCCAGGGCTGTGTAGGAGGCCGTGGCGTCTTACATAGTGGTTGGAGTATGTACAGACCCATTTTTTGACACCGACAAGAACCTAGGAGCTTTCCATCTGTAGGTCATGCCTGCTTCCCTTAGCCATTGTCGGGTGGACCTTGGCAGGTCCTGATAAAATGTAAGGTGTTTTGCCTCATACCGCTGTCATAGTACGTTGTTTGTCTTGTAATATTTGACAGTGTAGTATAACATCTCGAGTAGCTGCTGTAGGAGCATTCAGGGATTTGCTGATGGGGTACACCCCATCCAAAGCCAATTTCTTGGAGTCATTGGGGAGGAAGTATTGATGACATGAGGCCACAGTCTGGTTGATATCCATTATGTCTTCCTCTGTGGACAGGATTCGGTCTCTCAACACCTGCATGTCTGCCTTCTTCAACCCAAGATCCGCTTGGAATAATTTTTTTAAGTTTTGAATGACTTGTTTGGTTGCTGAAGTTGTTGCTGGTGATAGTTATGAGGGTATAGGAAAGTCCACAGTTGACCCTTAGTCCCAGTGATCTTACTTTTTTATCCATATCTATCGTTTTATGAGATGTTGAACAGGGAGATATATGTGCCAATATCCTGGCTGTCTGATTGTCTCTGCTGTCAGCTTTGCAAGATCACCGGAGGGTGTAAGCAGTAGGATTAGTTCTCTGCCAAGTGCTCCTCTTATTGGACATGAGGTTCCTCTGGGCTGAATTGTGAGGTAAGCCCCAGAACTTTTGCGCTGTTTTTTTGTGCACTGGTAAGAAGAGATATGGCATTAGCGTAGCTAAGACTACTCGAGGAAGGGATACCATTGATTATTAGTTGTACCAGGTGGTTTACGCCAGTTAGTGGCCAATATTTAGTGAAAGAATGGTGCATTTGTGGCTCTGACACTATGCTCTGCCATATGTCCAACATATTTAAATTGCAATAGTGAAGATAGAAGCCACACTCAATCTCATCAGCCACCTGGTGCTCCAGAGCAGGACCAGCAATCCCACAACGATAAGGCAAAAAATAATAATTCTCCAGGCACTCAAGGTGTTCAAGCTACAGGCAGTTTTAATAGAACAGAGAAGAGCAGCAACGTTTCAACCTGCTAAGAGGTCTTTGTCAGCTTGACAAAGACCTCTTATCCTGCGGCTTGAACACCTTGAGTGTCTGTAGAATTTCATTTTCAACATACTTAAATAGCTAACCACACATAGATATAAACAAATGGGCACGCAAACATAAAAGTCCATACACAGCAGACATACTGGGCTATGCCCTATATATACACAGATGCTCACGCTCCATATTATACTCTAGTCCTACATAAACGACTTCACGACACCCAACCCTTACACCATGGTTAAATCCAAGTTACTCGACACACCCGGTTATAGACCCATAAACGCACAGTGCCGTAGGGCAAGCGGTAAAACAACACACCATTAGAACACTCAAAGGGACAGGTGGCTTACAAGCCCAAACCCTGTACCAGAGACACACTACCACCCAGGTGCTGAACCTCTGCACCTCACCACATAGCCCACTAACCCACCTCTGGTAAAGTCAGCCAGCTCGCTATAACTAACAAGCCCGTCAAATGCCGATATGCACTGTGGGCCATAATACGGATCACGAAATGTTTGAACTATGGTTATTTCGTTATACTTCATGCATATGTTGTTGTGGCATACCCAGACATGTATGTACCCCCACACATTTTCAGTAAAAGACATAAAATTACATATGGTTACATTGATAAAACATACACATTCTACATATCCCCAGATAGCTTAGATCTGAGCGCACATTATTGCCGAATGGCGCTCAGATCACATACATACAGTTCAATTGCCATGGAGCCAAAGTCTTTCCCATAGTCTTTCGTTACACAAATAGGCTCCATGGCATAGCTATTTGGGGTGATGCTGTTCATACGGTTAAACTACCGAATGAACAGTCATTCGGTTCCACTACCGAATGCAGAGGTAAGGAGGCTGGCGGCTCAGCTTTGTTCACGCAAATAAGTGCCCGTTTTCAGTTCCATAGTTTGGGCGCTGAACACCGCTGGCCGTAAAATGGCCGCTGCCACGTATTCGGCAAACGAACAAAGGCCACCCAGCGTTCGTCAATTAAGCTGCAGTTAACCGCAGGTTCTGGGCGGTCAATTGACGGCACACTCCAGTTCCCAGGTGGTCGATTGTTCGGTACTTTGTTCGGTAGATTGAATCTACCGAACACCCTGGCAGAAAGGAACGAATAAGCCTTTCTGCAGGGAAAATAAAAGGTTTTAAATGCTGGGCCATAGTCTAAAGGGAGCAGGGGAGCAACCAGGCTTCTCCAGTGGACAGTGGCGAGGCTAGTTTCACCACATTATCCATAAAACCTCAGATCATTTTCTGAAAACATGGATTGGTTGGAGGTTTTTGCCCCATCAGAGCCTTTCTCAAAACCTCCTAGTGGTGTTGTCCTCTCGTGGTGTGGCCCTTGAGAGGGGATCTGTCTACCGCCCATCTGGTGTGGACTCTTAATTAGCACTCTCCTTCTCCTCTCTTTCACCATTTTCTGAGTATCTCTCTCTTTACTCTTTAGTTCTGTGTTATTTTATCCTGCTAGATGTGATTGGTTTCTGTCCCTAATTCATTCCCCTCATATGCCTTCTACATGTTTGTCCTGAATTTTGTTTTATTATCTCTCAATAAATTGTTACAAAATGACAAACGTTCAGTGAAGGTACAGGAATCTGAGAGAGGTCCACATGAGAATACGGCTACCACCCTGCAAATTGTCATACACTGCTAAAATAATTGGAATAAATGAATCAAAATTCATAATAAGGGCTATATATAGGACACAAGGTCACGCATTTAGGCTGGAGGAAATGAGATTTAATCTAAGGCAAAGAAAAGTGTTTTTATTACAGTACACAATTTGAAGTTGCCCTCATGATGACAGCCAACAGGTCTTTATTCCGGTCTATATAAGTGCACTGCTCAGATAGTACTTTGCCCATTGGTTGTTTTAGTTTTATAGTTCGAGTGATTTCTTGATATGTTGACTTGTTTCAGGATTTCTGTTATTTTTGAACTTGACTTGGTGTTCAGTTTAATTGATCTTCAGTAACCCTACAACTGGGCCCATTCACTACTATTCTTTTCTATTCTCAGGAATGTTTCTCCTCGCTATAAGCACTGCTTTAAACCCAGGCACTCTATGGTCTGGTAATGCTCTCCTGTCCTACATGACAGAAAGTATGTTATTGCATGGAGATACTCAATATGACATCTTTATGAAGGAGCCACCAAGATTCCAGCTATCTAAAGAACAGAACTTCCTAACCCGAGCTCCAGCCATACTTTGAAAATTTATTTTATAAGTGTATTCAAACAAAGTTATGGATCACTAAAAAAAAATGGAGTGAATGCAGACTTTGAGAACTAGAATGCAACATCTTTGCAGATGTTGAGATCATAATATTAAAAAAATAAAATAAAACATGAGCAGTGTGCTCACAAAGAAGTATTCTCTCAGAGTAACGCAGATAAATGCCGAAATGCCAAGAAGCAAGAAGGGTAAATTACTATATATCCCAATTCACACTGATGAGATAATCACCTGCTTTGAACAAAAAGTTTATAAAAATGAATAGAATGGCTTGGAAAACTGAGCCAAAACTTTGAAATTAAATAACGGATAAAAAAAATAATGATTACAATGTAAACTATTTTTCACACACACAAAAAACCTACACATTTCCTGGAAGTAGTATACAATGGGGATGGCAGTAATTTTTCTGGAGGGGGCCTGTCTCAGAAGACTGGATAATCCCCATAAAATCCTCATAAAACCTACAGCTTACGCAGAGTGTTCATCCCAGTAAACCCATCTGGCCCAAGAGATTGGTTTGGTTTAAAGAGGAATTGCCACTTCTCAGACCTATGAAAGTTAGAGATGGTAGTGCTATTTTATTTATTAAACAATCTGTTTTTATATTTGGATTTAAAGCATATCCCAGGATTTGCATGCCTAGCCAGAGCATGACCTGCAGATTACTTCGATCCCCTTGGAACTTTGCACACATGAGCATGTGCTGGTACTTTGTAGGCACATGCCCAAGCTCCGAAACACTCTCCACAAGTGATGGCTGATATAACAAGAGCTAATTCATACATCATAGTAGGAGTATTGTAACTCTCCGTATCCTCAAAAAATATATAAATTGGTTAATTTTACAGATTATAATTCGGTTAGTAATATTAATAAATTCAACATTTAGATCTCATATGGGATCTTGTCAAAAATGAGGTGCACCCATAAATGGTGACCTAGGTCACTTACACTCCTTGTGTTAAATAAATATATATACAAAATATATAATTTTATAAAAATAAAAAGATTCCATCATTTTGGCATTTATTTAGGGCCTGTAGAAACCAATAGTTTCCCCATTGTTTTCCTCACATATGCACGGTGAAAGGGGCCAAATAATATAATTTTTAATAAAATAACATAACGACTAGTGAGAAACATTAAATGTCAATGGTGGACCAAAGTGTGAGCAGATATTGATGGTTTACTGATCAAATATGTAGCCAATGCCACTCTTTACATAGGTAGGTGTATATTTATGATGAGTTACATGAAGAATTGTATTTATTTGAAGCAGTAAATGCTTGAATATCAGAGGTCACTAATGCAGGTAGGTCCCAGTATATTAAGCATAACTTCAAGAGCATTGGTTCAGATATATTGTTTAGCTCTTGTTGGAAATAAAATAGGGCACTCCAGGATACCGTGGTTTTGTTTGTGTTGCCAAACCATACAGTTCATTGTAGTTACACAATTTTTTCAGAATAATGTAGGAAGTTCTTCAGAAGTTGTATGTAGACTTTATAAGAATAATCTCTCCCTCTTTCTGTCTGTCTCTCTATCACAGAATGCCTCATGGGGGAAGCAATATTCGTATGCCCTTTTCAAGGCCATGAGTCACATGCTGTGCATCGGGTACGGGCAACAGGCACCTGTGGGCATGTCAGATGTCTGGCTCACAATGCTCAGCATGATTGTAGGTGCCACGTGCTACGCCATGTTCATTGGACATGCTACTGCCCTCATCCAATCCCTGGATTCTTCACGACGCCAGTATCAAGAAAAGGTAGACATTCAAGGCACAGAAGTGACACTAATGTTTTACAACATGCTATTACAATAGAGTTCTTTATTGCAGGCTCTATTCCTTTTCCTTGTCACGACCACATTTTTATGGTCTATTAATCTAGTGATCTAAGATTTGGGATAGATCTTCTTTCTTATGGCTGCTCCCATATCTGTATTTATGGTCACTTTTAATTTATTGAAGATTATAGAAGGCAAAGTTACATTTATTAGAATAGAACTGGCTCACACATAATCACGTATACAAGTATGGAGTTAGTCAAGAGCTGGTAACCACCCAAACATCTGTTAGATGGCAAAGGATTATGTAATTAACCAATGGATGTACCCTAAGCCGCCATCTTGAATGCATTCGAATTAAGCAACTCACATGGTCCTCTCACTCACCCTGTATAAGTGTTCTATTTGTCAGGATTCCTTATTGCTTTCGGTGTATTCTCAATAAATGTGCTAGTACACACAATTTACAAAGGATGTGAAAGCCAGTATAATGTGGACTCTTTATTCTTTCTTTTCTCAATAAACAAAAAAAATTACATTTAAATTAAATTGTTTAGGTCTAGCGTCAATATTGTCTTGCAGATAGAAACATATAAAATATTAAACGCCAGATATATTTTCTGAGCACTTGCATTGTGTCATTGAGAGATTGAACAGAATGTAAGGGATTAAACGATTGAAACCTTTCCCACGTATCAAACTTCACATTTAGCACATTTCTAAATCCTGCGAACTGTAACAGCATCCTTTTTTGTTGCTTCAATCAGCAATTACCCAAAATAACTACAACTAATTAATATCCAGGTTGCATGCAGCATATGTCTCTTCTCATGCTTTGCAGAATCATTGCTAAATTCGGAGATCTTTTGCCAGGTTACTAATATTTAATTATATTTTCCCTATTTGTATTTAGTATAAGCAGGTGGAGCAGTATATGTCGTTTCACAAACTCCCAGCCGACATGCGCCAACGGATCCATGACTACTATGAGCATCGATACCAAGGGAAGATGTTTGATGAGGAAAGTATTCTGGGGGAGCTGAGTGAACCTTTGAGAGAGGTAAGACATTCAAAACAATTCTCAACTCTTATCTAAGCATATGGTTTTGCTTTTATTTTAAAAATGTTGTACTCTCTTTGTCACCTGCTATCAGAGGTGGGTCAGAATGTGAGACATTGGGACATATTGTTCTTGTAACGGACCGTTTTGCACACAAGGGGTAAAAACCGTTTAGGCGATCGTCCCCCTTTCCAGAGATGCAGGCACAGCTATTGTAAAACACCAAACTCACGAACCGCCAATAAGGGAATGCTCCAAACTCCCGAACGGCATCCAATATAGCACTCCAAACACACGAACTGGAACCATACGAATCACTGCTAGCAGACGAATAGGAAAAGCATCCAAGCGGCTTACACTCCTAGCAATCAGTCTCTATCAGCATTCAGTAAATCCCCCCAAAGACGAGACAAGGCTCCGTGTTGAGGGTCAAGCAGTGGTCTGTTTAATGAGGGCTACCTGCCCAGTATTTATGCAGGTCTCCCACCTGGTGGACACTCCCCTATGGGACCAAATGGGAGACTGTGACAAAGGACAGACAAGTAGACAAATAGGACACACAGTCACATTATATTCCCACAATGCATCCTGGCTTCCTCCCCTCTGCCTTGGAGATAATTGAGTAATTCAATTATCTCCCAAGACAAAGGCAAATCGCCATTATGCACGTGGGGATACTAACACACAAATTAGTATTAAAATACACTATGTGAAACACATAACATTAAAAGCATACATTTAACATATCCCCAGATAGCTCAGGTCTGAGCGCACATTATTAAGCGAATGGCACTCAGACCACACGAATACAGTTTAATCGCCATGGAGCTAAAGCCTTTACACAGTCAGTTTCATGCGAATGGGCTCCATGGGATTCCTATCTGGGGTATAACACATTCAAACAAAACTACCGAACACCGGGCCGTTCGTGCACTTTCACCGAACAAGAAGGGAGGTCGGCGGTTTCAGCTGTGTTCGCGCAAAACTGTGTCCGATTTCAGTTCCATGAATTAAGCGTCGAACACCACTGTGCATTCGCATGTTTAAAATGGCCGCGACCTCGTGTTCGTGATACGAATGGCGGCCACCCAGCATTCGTCCATTAAGCTGCGGTTAACCGCAGCTTCAGGGAGGCTAATTGCCGGCACACTCCAGCTCCCAGGTGATCCAGTCATTTGTGCGGTTGTTCAGTAGATTGAATCTAGGCAGAAAAGAACAATAAATCTTTTCTGCAGGTAAAAAAGATGTCTTTTAACACGGGGCCATAGTCCAAAGGCAGCAGGCGGGCAACCAGGCTTCTCCAATGCAATGTGGCGAGATTGGTCTCGTCACAGTTCTGAAACAAAATTCTTTGCTTTCTGTGAATTGTGCACTGTTGTGCTGCTGACAGAGTCCCTCTACCCCCTGTGTACATAAAGGGTTGGTGAACATCGGTGCTCACCAGCGCTGGATCAGGCTCCTCCCCCTGATGTCACAGTGATTCGGAAATCTATTACACATTTACGTCAAGCATTAGGAAAGCATTGAATCAATTTTCCTGTGGGGTTTTCAAAACACTGGACATCCTCATGCAAAGTGTGAGGATGTCCAGCATTGTTTCACGGAATAAACCTAATAGCTGCCTGATAGACAGTCACTAGAGGAGGAGTTAGCCCTGTAATATAAGTTGTTTCTCAGAAACTACGATATATTCCAGCTTTAAGGGGACAGCGGTACTGCAGTTGTAAGAGTGCCTATAGTGTCCCTTTAAAATTAATTTTTACAGATGTCTTAATTGCTAATTACTGTACAGTTCCTGATTATTTAACTGATGATACAGTCTTTACTGCTATAACAGCCTAGTCTAAAACCTAAAAGTTTTGTACTTTAGTTATTTAATTTGTCAATAAATACCTACAGGTGCACAGCATTGGGGTTCTTACATGTAATTAGCACTACCCATATAGAGTGTGATAAATTATTTGCCTGATTCCATTTCTATAGTTGTAAAGACCCTCTATGTGTCATGTTCTGGAAGCAACAGGAATAGCTGGGTCAGTAAATGTTCTGTTGACAAGAATATCTCTGTACTCTACACAGCTGAAGAATGACCCAGACCTGGCAACATGGCCAGGTCTTAATATTAGATAATTGAGAAACGGGATAGAACCTGTGGGTGGGGGTCTCTGTGATGCAATTAGCTTAATGGGCAATGTGCTGCCCAAAAATGGGGCACATCGTAATAGCACACGCAAATGTGCACCAGATTGACAAAGTACCCAGAAGGGCAGCCAATCAGTGCTGTAGCGTTTGTATATGGGTTTATAATTTCCTGAATTTAACTCTAAGTGCACCATGAGCGCAGTTAGATTGGCGCTTACACTCCACTTTCCCTCAGTTCTCTCAACATCAGGTGCCAGGCTGTAATTTGTAGGTAAATTTGTGCTTCATACAGAGAGACAGTGGGATGCGGCAGGTCTGGATCCCCCAATTCGCCAGGTAAAGAGTGCATGACAGTCTCTATTTACATCTATATACAAAAACGTGTCTGTTAGTCCACCCATTGTACAGCGCTACGGAACTTGTTGGCGCTTTATAAATAATAATAACAATCTACAGCGTCACATCAACAGCATACTGGGTAAAGTAAAGAACTTCAAATTGAAGGTTAAAATAGCCGAACAGAAAAAATTCTCTTAGTCACTTCAGCTGCACTGGCCTTAAATTTAAAATTCTGGGATTCACTTTGAATTCTCACTGTTGTAAATAAACCTGCCTGAGTTCCAGAATACATAGCAGTTTACGGGTATTTCTTGCCATGATAACACAGAGACATGTTTCTCTTCCTCTGTTTGTAGAGACCATTTTATGTAAATTATTAATCAAGCGAACGGCCTGTCATCTCACCACAGATCCTAGAGTCATTACACTTAACACTTAGACATAGGTTAAAATGCCATGTGTTACTTCTCTGACATGCTAAGAAAATACAAGGTTATAATTCAGATTTTATACCGAATATATGGACTGGCTTACAAGTATGTGATCCTTTTCTTATTGTCTGTAGATGCTTACTGTTATTTTAACTCTCATCTCAAGATTTGGTGCATGTGTTGCCTTGACATTTATATGCCATTTATATATATATATATATATATATATATATATATATATATATATATATATATGTAATATTGTTGAATTTTATGTGATATTGAATACGCTGTATTTTAAGTTGCTGTGCAGTGATATGACCTTCTGCTCTTCTACAGGAAATCATTAACTTTAATTGCCGAAAACTAGTGGCATCGATGCCACTGTTTGCCAATGCTGATCCGAATTTTGTGACCTCAATGCTTACGAAGCTACGATTTGAGGTTTTCCAACCCGGAGACTTCTTAATCCGAGAAGGGACCGTGGGAAAGAAGATGTTCTTCATACAGCATGGTGTTGTCAGTATCTTGAGCAAGGGCAGCAAAGAGACTAAGCTTGCAGATGGTTCCTACTTCGGAGGTACGTAGAGGTTCAATTCGTAAAAATCTGTTAGAAAAGAGGGTCTTCTACTTCACTTGCTGAGACAGGGCAGGTCCATGGCTGCCTTATACAGTTTTCCATAGGTTTATATTCGACTTGCCTGTGAAGCTGGACAAGAAAATATTAAGCGTGGCATTCCGGCAAAGCAGATGAACTGCAGCTGGGCACTGATTATCTGTTTTGCCTCTTCATTCCTGCCTGTTACCCGTTATTGGTGGGAGTGTGTGTTAGTATCTTTCTGCACTTGTTGGCTGTCTCATGATTGATGTAGCTAATGTCACAGTGTTCAGTGATTGATTAATGTTCCTACACCAGCTTGGTTGGAGACAGACAATAACAATACACAATCAGTGTGATGTTGAAATGTATATGATTAAGTGCTTTTTCCCGCAGAGTCACAAATGAACATTTGATGCCAAACATTAAATGGCTGGGGTAGGAACATGACACCTGACTTACTGCCTTCCTGCCCTCTGGTGGGGATTCCTAAAGAACACTAAAATGTTCTGTTTTTAAATGGAAAGTTGCATTTTTAACCATAACATTACATTATTTTGTCATTAGTTACACCTGGGTCTTAATGGCCTTTCTATCTGTCTAGCCTTTCTTGGTTCTCTGGAATAATCAGAGTGAACTGCACATCTTTGAACTTCAACACAAATGTATGCCACTACCACAGGGACAAATAATATTATATTGCTACTGCATTGCTTTTTTTTTTTTTTTTTACTATGCATGTATACTGCAAACATTCCATTCTTGTTTTATCTTTTGCAGAAAAGTTTTAAAGTTCTAATAATAGAATGGTAAATAAAAAAAAAAAAAAATCTGCGTTGGCTAGTGATGTTGTGCCTGCATATGAGTGTACGGAGGAATGATAGATTATGCTAGATTAAGCTGACTACAAATAGTTTGCTAATTGTTTTGTGATTGCCTTTCCTTTCATGTCTTAGCAAGCACTGTTTAGTAAAAAAAGAGAGTTACAGTAGTGCAGTTTTTACCATGCACAACATTTATAGCGAGTACAAGAGTTAAATGCCTCAGTCAAAACAGAAATGTAATGTCTGGTAACTATATAAAACGCATGTAATATGCTATTAATATGCAGTGGTGGTTCTAATTAGGGATCCGATACTGGTGATATGCAAAGACACCATGAAAGAACACTAAAAAGATAGGCGTAGTATGACAAAGTATTTCTGGTTAGAATTCTAGGTTAGGTGGTACAGTTCTAGCCCCTGGCTTTTGCCCTGCATCCAAGTTAGTTTCCAGTTAGCCTAGCACACACAAAATACCAGTCTAACAATCCCCCTTTTCACATTATGGCCCACCTATCACCCTGTCGTGAGTTCATACCACATGATGTTAGAAATATGTCACAAAGCTTACTGATTGCTATGTTTAGTGTCCCTATATATTGTAGGGGCAGTCCCTATTTTGGAGCCCACATTCCTCCGTTATATCCTATTGTCCCTCTTTTTTAGGAGCTCCATATTGTTGGTGCGTCTGTGTGTATAACAGAGTTCCACGGCATTAATATTCACAGTAATGTGTCTTTAAACTACAATAAATGTGTTTAGACATCAGTCTGTAAAGAGGATACATTTAGTTCCATAAACTGTTACCAGTAAGTCACTTAACTCTTCTCAGAACAGCCTCGCCCATGGACACCCCTCCATTAAAACCCCTAAAATTAAAGTCTCCCTGTTTGTCCATTGGAAATGTTGGAAGGTATGTATTAAGTGGTGTACAGACTTTCATATAATATGAAAAGAAATAGACATCATGTTACTCACTTAACTTTGTACAATTACATTTTCACAAATCTTCTACTTAACCATAGGGTGGTCTGGGCATTGTAATACTAGGGTACCTACCCAAATACTTGAACTCATTAAAGGGACCTCGGTGCTGTAATCAGGTAAGTAAAAGAGTTTTTAATCAGGGGTGGCCAGTGAGATGGAAGAACTCTAAATAGTCACAATATAGTGTTCCTTTAAGATGCTCTCTGATCAACCTCTGTACTGAGCAGAGTTGGGAATCATTGAGAAGCTTTCGGCACTAGCCTCAGCTGACACTCTCAATGACTGGTGCTTATTGAGAGTAACTCTGTATGTACTGTGCTCATAAACGCATAAAATTATATAAATAGCAACAGCTTTATGAAACTAGTAACACACTGCCATTTTAAGTTTTAAATTTTTCTGTTACTCTCTTCTCAGAGATCTGCCTGTTGACACGAGGTCGCCGCACAGCAAGTGTGAGGGCCGACACATACTGCCGACTGTATTCTCTGAGCGTTGATCATTTCAACGAGGTGCTGGAGGAATACCCCATGATGAGGCGTGCCTTTGAGAGTGTTGCACTAGATAGACTGGATAGAATTGGCAAGTATATTTTGTAAACATTTTTTAAATCTAAATTCCCTTGCCCCTTATAATTTGTGCACCATTCCTGGCAGATTTACATTTAAGTGTAACTATGAAAGATCCCTTGTTAGCAAGTGCACCAGTATTTTTGTGTGACAATTTTATGGCAACAGTTTAAAAACTCAAAAAATGTTTTACAAACCAAAATTTGACAGCTTGTTATAGTATTAATAAACAAGGTTATATGTAAATGTATATATAAAATATTATGACAGATCTTCTGTGACTACGGAAGCATGAAACACCCTGGTGGGTTGGAGAGATCTCTCCAACTTTTGGTTTTGTTTTATTTTTTTTTATTTTATGCTGCCCGAATATTCACAAACCATTAGAATTTCTCTAATGTGTCTCCATACTAGCCTTTTACCCACCACATAGAAAACTCAAGAGTTATGCTATAACGACCAAATGTGATCCAGAATGTCAAAATTCTGTTAAAATTACCACATTTCAATTGTAATTATAATTCTCATATTTACTTAAAAGGTTATGGTGCCATTAATTAAACAATTTTAGAATTATTTGATTTCTTACTTGGTGTCTGACAAGCACCACTCTCAGCCTATTCTGTGAGGTCTGAGAGCCAGAAGCTCCAATAGCTGTGGGCTGTGGGGTGACCACCTCCAGGTTCCTCCTTCTAGTTAATATTGTCCAGTAACAGGTCTCCCATTATAAATAATTCTGCTTACACCTATGGGCATTGGGTACAAATGAGATGAAACCAGGGTCATGTGGTCCCCCATTTATTTAGCACCCCCAGAAACAGATCTTATTCTCATATTAAAGTTTATTAGACATTCGCCAGCCCTTGGCATGTCAGATGGAGGTTTAAGGAGGACTTTATCCTCCCGATAGTTAGTGAGATCCATAATGAAATAATCCAGATTTTCAGGTTCTGCATGCCCTTGGGCAGGGGCGTACCTAGAGCATTTGGCACCCGGGGCGGATCCTGTGCTTGACTCTGGGCATTTCAACTTTAGTGAATAATCCTGTATATGTTTATCTAAGCATTTTATTTTTCCCCTATAAAATCTGCGTTGTGATGAGCAGACATATACTGCCAAATGAAATGCCAAAAAAATAAAGTTGGATTTTTATTTTGTCAACTTGTTTTTTACCTTTATGTAGAATTAACAGGTTCATATTATGATATATATTGCAATCACCATATACATAATTTTGAGTCAACAATAGACATTATCAAAAACTGCTCTTCATTACATTTTACAGGTAAAAAGAACTCTATTCTCCTGCATAAAGTGCAGCATGACCTCCGCTCTGGGGTACTAAACTACCAGGAAAACGAAATCATACAGCAGATTGTGCAACATGACCGTGAGATGGCGCAAGGACCCCGTTGCACCCAAACAGAAGAGGACACTTCAGCAACACCACCAACTCCAGTTATCTGGACACCGCTCATACAGGCACCTCTACAGGCTGCAGCTGCCACCACATCAGTGGCCATCCCTCTTACCCAGCAGCGACTACCCGCTACTATATTTCGACCTCCACCGTCTGCTCTAGGTGCCACAGCACGTGGATTTCGTCACCTTCAAAGAGCCCCAATTTCCACACACCCACCAGGTGCAGAACTGACACTGCTGCAGCAGTCTTCTTTTCATGTGCACCAGCTAGCAGGCTTTTCTGCGGTGGGTTGTGTAAGCCCAAGACCCCCACTTTCTATGCCAGGTGTGGAAAGAAGGGCATCACAGCAGCCAGGCCCTTCCTGCACTCCACCAACTGCATTTGAGTCTACAAAGTGGCCACCAGGAGCAGACACCCCTCTTACTTCCTTTAAACAAGGACTATCACAATCATACCAGCAACTCCCTTCTCCCTCTCCTGGACAATGTCAGGGTGTCAATACACAGCTACCAGGTCCCACTATACCTGGAGGTTCAGAGCCCCTATGGGTGTTACCCCCTCCAGGACAGAAATCAGACTCTGTTGGGAGCTCTCCCTCCACTCTTAGTCCTGGCCTTGTCCGGACCATTCAGGTTTGCGGTTCTTCGCGATCTCTTCTCCTTCCACATACTGCTGCAGTTTCCCCTCATCCAAGCAGCTGTGTTTCCCTTCCCCTTAACAGGCTCAGGCAAGATGGACGGCCCATCTCTGTGTCACAGCCCTCCTTACCCCAGCCAGCACCAGGTTCCCCTCATTTTCCACAGCAATTCACACCCGACTTCACCTTGCTCCCTAGGGTTGGCAGCTCAGAATTATCACGCCATGTGACTTTACCACGAAAAGGGTCCTCAGAATTAGGTTTTGGTGTAAGGGGCGCTAGTGGAGAAGATCTACCTTTGTACTCTAAACTCCCTTGTAATCTATGACCATGATCATTGCTAAAGATCTGCAGAATAACCATGCCATGTCCCAGTCACATACCTGCGTAAAATTATTGTATAAACAATGCTCCCTGGAAATCTAAAGAGTGCTCTAATGTTCCAGTGAGGAAAAATCAGGAGGTATGTGAGCACATATTTTGTAGTAAAATTTGGCTATAAATAAATAGAGACAATTATTTTAAACCAATTAAGCAGGTTTATACATGCTGAAAAGCGTACACAAAGTGTGACATTGCATTGGTTCCTGAATTCAGTCCCCAATTCCCTCCCTACAGGAGCTGGATCACAAGATTGCCTTATATCTACAGGGAAACGTGCACCATTGAGTAAGTTGAACCAGTAAGGGAGATGGTACTTGAATACATGTCAAGTGAAATCAGCTACTGCCCCAGCAAATCGGCAGAGTAAATTCACTATATGATAAACAGATTTAACTGTAATCTAAGTCTAATCCCCTTTAAATCCAGTCGTAATTTGGGAAACATGCCACACGCCTTTAACTATAATTAAGGGAAATTATGCAAATTTATCGGAGAAAAAAAAAATCCTCTTTTGGTCACTAATCCTTTTTCCAGTATTATCCTTTTGAAGACAGGTTGACTTGCCAAAATCATTATGAAATGTAGATCAGTTTGCCAAGTAAAATAATACTTAAAGCAGCTCTATCACTTTCCTGGTTTTACGTTTAAACTAATATTTGTTTTTTTGTTCCTCTATTTATCCTTGTTTTTATCTACTTGAAATTCACCTTTGTTTTTTAGTTATGCACAAGAATAAGTAGGAACTACTTTGTTTCTTACAGGGAGTGTGATTTTTGGCATTTTTTTTGCAACAGGAAGAGCTTAGCTAATTTACCCACAATCCATTAGTCTCTGCAGACTTGGTGGTTAGAGAACGAGTACTGTGATCTGACACATGGAAGAAAAGATAATGAGTATAAATAAAGTCAAGAGGCTCAGGGGGACGAGGGGGGAAGTATAATCATTAATATACAAAAGGACACAGTGACACTTTAAATGTTAGCTTCCTTAAGATTGTAAAATAAAGTAGTGTCAATTCAGAGTATCTTCTCATTAGCACAGGTGGATCCATCTCTGTCTGTGACAAAATATCCAGAAAACATACACTTAGGGGGTTCTGAAGACTGATCAATAACCAGGGGCTAAAACTATGTTGCATATAGAAAATAGAGTGAATTTAGCGGATACATCAAACACAAGAGGTACAGGCAACCCAGTAGACAAGATGGAGTTCAGAGTTCCATAGTATCTAGGGAACACTATGCATAGGATGAGGAAGAGGCACAAAATATGTCTGCACAGTCTTAATATATATAAAAAATAAATAAAATAAAAAGATTAAACCTGAGCTGCAGAGGCTGCCACCGTAGTCCCAACAGTGTAGTCCGCAAACAGATAAAGAAATTGAGTTCTGCGCATCCAGTTAGTTTGTCCTGAAATTAGCATTGAAAAAGGGCTCGTGACCGAAATGTTTGTTTGTATTGTGTCCTCAAATAAACTGTATTACCACCTGGGTGTGCACAAACTAACTGGATGCACAGAACTCCATTTCTTTCTCTGTATGTAGGGAACAGATAGGCCATGTACAACATATTTTTCTATCACATTCCTTTTGAATGTGATGTGCTGAATCCCAGTCCTCAAATTCCATACCGCTAGAGCAAGTCTTAATTACTAGTAATTCATGTATTAATACCGGGTGCATGTATGAGCTCTAATTTCAAAATTTGTTAAATATTTTCAATTTATATATTTGTTATGGTTCACCTGTTCCTTATTTTTTATTGCTAACTCTTGTCAAAGTTCTGAGTCTGAAAAGGAAATAATTCTCCTTGAAAACTCCTTCCAAAATAACAATTCGATAAACCCACGAACCAGTACTTTAAAAGAAATACAGCCTTTTGCACGTTCAAAATACAGTTTTTCTTCACAAAAAAAGGAAACATTTTCCTTTGGGATTTAAGGCATTTTTATATATATATATTTTTTTTTACTATGTGCAGTACTCGAGCAGTGAGTGCAGTATGGATGTGACAACTGCCAAAACCATTTCATCATGACCAAAGCAGTATTTTCCACAGCAATACTGGAGCTTTATTTGTAAATTGTATATTCTTGTATTTGCTGTTTTTGGGCTAGTGACAGACACATCATTAGAATTAGTCACAGGAGGTTAGTGAAGCACCATTTTAATTCACACCACTAAAGGGACAATTGTTCTACTGAAAGAACTTTATTGGGATTTTCAATCTTTCTCTAAATTACTTTTTGATTGATAATGGATGGAATCCTTAGTGTTAGGCGTTCATTATCAATAATATAAACTTTTAACATTTCATACAATATGGAGACGTTTTCCATTTTCACTGGCTTGGCCTAAATTATGAAAGTCAGCCTTAAAATCACCAAAGTCTGATGTACAGTGAGCTGACCCACATGGTGTATTGACTTGGCTGTAGTTGTTTTGATAGAGAGCAAGAGAATTGCTGTAGGAAGATTCTTTGCTCTACCTGTCCATCCGTTCTCGGCATACATCATGCTATGTTGAATCCAAGAATTGATCGTCCGGTAATGGGAGGGAATTTTTTTTAGGTATTTTGTAAAATCAATATAATTGCCAGCAGTTTGTATACCCTTTAATTTAAAAATAATGTATATGTACCATTACAGGTACACTCGTAGCTCAGAGCCTGAAACGTTTTAAAGAGCCATATTACAATACGTAAATAAGCAATGTACTATTGTCCATGACAGGTCCACGAGGACTGGACTTGGGAACCACAGGGATGTTTATTAGCCGTTGCAAACTCTGTGCCAACATTTTTAAATACACAATAAAAAAAAACAAATACACCGTTTTATTAACTACTGTTCTTTAATAATCTTTGCATAAGACCACTTTAAAGACCAGCTTTGCAGATCTTTTAGCAATGAATTCATAAACACGTTGTAGGAGTTGTGTTTTTGACTCAAGTTAGCGGTCACTAAAGAACAGAAGTGAAGTGTCTCTTACTAACAGAATAAGAGTAGCCTGTCATTTTGCAATAAGGCACCTGCTTTCTCTGCACATGTTTGACCAATATTCTGCATCACTCGCATATTAATCGTTGCAGTGCCAGCGCCATGCTTGTGGGTAGTGTCCAGCAGACTCAGGAAAGATATACTCCTTTTCCTCTGCAGGGAACCAGAATTGAGATGCACAGAGTGAATGGGCCAATATATTTCTCCTGTACCTGTCACTTGAGTTTGAAAGCACATGATGAGTTATTAGGATATTCCATCCATTGGCACCAAGTGTGTATAGTTAGATAGATGGACATCTGGGCAAGTTCATTGGGGGCTTGCCTGAATAAGCAATATTATGTAACATTTATTGTATTTGTGCCTTCACTTCCCCAATGGAGTTAACTGAAAAAAATAAAAAGTGAGACCCTTGGGGGACCCATATTGTCCGCTATGATGAGGGATCTGACATGGGCTATGTCTCATGCTCACTCCCAAATACGCCCTTTCCACATTGCAATAAGGCACTGCCTCAGCATGAGCTGTGCAATGCGGACACTCAAATTAGAGAGTGCCTTATTGCTGCTGAATTAATTGGTCAGCGGTGTGACACCTCTACAATTTTGCTGTTTTAACTTTGTGCACTGGCATATGTATTTCACCACAATCAGTGCTCCCGTAGCAAGGAGCAGCACTGCAGGAATAAGATTTGTCACGACATGCCCCCTTTTTTGCCATAGAGGTCAGATACGCCATACGTGAAAGCCTTTTTCGTCCAGGAATACTGTAACGATATGAAAATTCCAGGTGTACAAGGAAGCAGTCAGATGAGATTAACCAAATCCATACACCGAGTCATGTTACTGCTTAGAAAAAAACAAGAAGATCCACTGATGAACTGTGGTACATATGTCCAAAGAACGAGTATGTTTAAATAATGAATATTGCAGAAAGCTGGGAATTTATAAGCAGACTCAAGCAAGTTCTATAACCTGTTTTGTCTTAACACGGGAGTAACAAGCAATGGATAAAAGGAACAGCTCTGCTATTTGTGAAGCCTGGAAATAAGGAATCAGTCAATACCACAGTAAGGATAAAGGAATCAGGCAGAGGCTGAAGCTCCTATAAAATATGTTTTAGGTTGGAAGAGCATTTTTTGTATTAATAGAAAGTGGCTATTGTGTGCATATTGAAGCTTTATTGAATAATAAGAGCACCTCATTAAGTACTTCACCTTTTGCTGGCCAGCGAATCGCAGACCCCTCTGGCAGCGAAGAGGTTAAACTTTGGAATTGTGTTTCAAGCCAGTAACGTCAGACAGCAGATAGTGCTTTAGGCAGGATAAGAGAGAAAACCTGGGCCATCACTTCTCATGTACTTTGCCAACGGCCTCTTTATTGTAAAGAGGGGTTTTTTGTTTTTGTTTGGTTTATTGTTTTCTTTTTGTAATAAAATCGCAAAAGAATAAAAATTAATATATATCTATACACAATTTATTGGTTTCAATAAATTTTCAAATATAAAACAAGTGTGGACAATGTTTGATGATACAGACAAATAGAGTTGTTTTGGGAAGACTCTTTTAGCAATGTTTTATTGATGTTTGGGAAGTTTCAATGAGTAAATTGAAACTTTTCTTTTGTAAGAACTCAATTGTCAGAAAAATGAGATCATAGAGTATGGTCACTTCAGGGCCAAAACAATACCTGCTAGGGTTCAGTCGGGAGACACATGAAGCAAACAAAGTATATATAACACAATGTGTTACTTATTTAAAGGGGCCGCTTGTGAATCCCACGTTTAAAGGGACACCATGGTCACCAGAAAAACTACAGCTTAAAGTAGCGGTTCTGGTGATTAGAACATGTCCCTGAAGGCTTTTCAGAGAAAAGGCAGTGTTTAAATTACTGCCTAGGATCAACTCTACATATCGTCTGACTGACTTCCACTAGAGGTGCTTCCTGGGTGTGCAGCACTGGCGTTTAGCTTCTCCAGGCTCTGCATGCAGGGCCTGAGCGTTCCCCATGGAGATGCTTTGATCCAATGCATCTCTCTGAGGAGATGCTGATTGGCACAGCACAGTGTTTTTGCTGCGCATGCGCAATAGCCTCCCAATGCTTTCCTATTGGAAAGCACTGTATTAACTGATAGCATCAAAACTGATTAGTTCAGCCATGGAGGTGGAGCCAGCTGTGGAGAGTACGGTGGCTCATGGGGGGAAAAAAGGTGAGAGATCTAATGGAGGCCAGTCACCTAACAGCCACACAGGCGCTATAAAGTCAGGAAAACAAGTTTGGATTCCTGATACTATAGTGTTCCTTTAATGAAGAGCACATAAAATAGACGTTTCGGGACTCCTGTTCCTTTTTCAATATATAAATGCCCTTCGAATGGTTTGCCAAAAAAAATGAAGTAATATGTAAGCACTCAAAGCCAAGACCTTAGATAAGAATCTGTGCCAATTTGGTGGGGAATTGTTGTGGCTGAATCCTGCTTACATGTACAAATACTCAGTGTATAATAAGAAAGGTAACAATTCCTTGACATTTCAAATTGATATCTGGGTATCAGGGAATCCTCCAATTTTTGTCAAACAACTTACAAAACAGTGTGACAAAAAATTATAGTACTGCACACATAACGTTCCTGCCTCCTGTTACAGTGCATATGCTGGTTATGTTGCTTAGAGGGACACTATCTGCACCTTAACTACTTTAGCTCAAAACCAAAAGTAGAACCTAGAGCAGGGGTTGGCAAACTTCAGCACTCCAGGTGTTGTGGACTACAACTCCCATAATGCTGGCAAATAATCAGGGATCTCACAGAAGCACAATTTGGTCAAAATAGCTAACATGGCAACAAATGCTGTCAGTAGGGTTTCAATCGAATTGCAGTTTAACTTGGCTATACAAACTATATATATTATAGTTTATACATTGTTTAAATATGATGAATATTGCCAAAGCAGTAGACTAAAGGAGAAAAATGTGTATTTAATTAACGTAATTTTGTTAGCCTGGGGCACAATGACAGCATCACCAGTGGGCTAGCCAGGCCTCTCAGGTGCCAGGACAAGAATTTTCATTGGTTAATAGCCAAGTAGAGCCAGAAGGGAGGAACACAACATAAAATGCTGCAAACACACATTATTTATTAGGGGTAAAAGCCATCTTTTCAAAGCATACAGCCATTAATGGAACAGCTGGATGGCTCCCTCCTGCCATCCCAAGAGACCACGGACAATATTTGGAAGGTGAGGCATTGCCAATCCCCATGCTGTGTGAATATAGATTTATCATAATCCAACAAAGTAGTTTTATTAACTCAATGAAACATGAACCCGTTAGTTTTGCCCAAGCTGGCGGGCGGTATACTGGATCATACAGAGAGAGAGGCTAAACTCAGTAAGGCAAGAATAAACTATATTTTATTTATTAGAGAAACAAACAGAAAACTGCCTGTAACCTGAGGGCAGGAAAAAGATTTGGAAAGCTATAAAAGAGGGGACTTTTTATCTCCTTAAAGGGACACTATAGTCACCAGAACAACTACAGCTTATTGAATTTGTTCTGGTGAGTAGAATCATTACCTTCAGGCCTTTTACTGTAAACACTGTCATTTCAGAGAAAATGCAGTGTTTACATTACAGCCTAGGGATAACTCAATTGACCACTCCTCAGATGGCTGCTAGAGGCTAACAGATAACCGTCAAGGAAGCATTGGTGAAGAAGTGCAACATGTCCAGCTGCTTTTAAAAAATATATATATTAATTTTTTACAGATTCTCCCCTCCCCCCTTCCTTTTATATAGTTATAATTATTTTGTATGTATACTGTAAAAAGGTATGTGGCTATTTTTTCTACCTTGTATCTACATTTTGTTTCTTCAATAAAGAATTTTTTTTATATGAGCACTTACAAAAACTGATGAGGGTCAGCTGAGTACAGTTTATGAACCTTTAGAACCTAATTGGAACAGATGAACGAACACAGCTGAAGCCGCTGCCTATTGAAGCACGTCATTCTATTTATTATTGTTTTTTCACTCTAGTTGTGGAAGCAGCACTTTGCCTTTGGACTTGCCCTTGACTCAACAGCACTTCCCAGTGGCTGGTGCCATTTGGACTCCAGACAATAAACCCTAACAGCCAGCTTGAATTAAATGACGCATGTTGACTATTGAGCCTCGTAGGCTCCAGTATAGTATGGAAATGGAGATATTTTACAGTCTCAATGGGAAAAAAACGTTTTTTTTCTGGTAGGCAAAGCGGCGAGGCTCCTCTTCCTGTCCACCCGCACCTCCCCCCTCTGTCAGTCCCTACATTGGTTTCCCGTAAGATATAGGACTCAATTTAAAATCTGGATACATTTTCTTACAAATCTCTACAGAATGCTGCTCCGACTTAATTATCCCCACTATGACACAAATATGTCCTGTCTAGGCCCCTATGCTCTGCCGGAGACCTATGTCTAACCTCTGTTTGTACTTCTACCTCTGATGCTCACTTCAAAGCCTTTTTGAGAGCTACACCATTCCTATGGAACACCCTTCCCTTCTCTGTTAGACTTTCACCCAGTCTCCACTCCTTCAAAAAATCTTTAAAAATCTACTTCTTTAGGAAAGCATATCAATTAAACTGTGAACAGCTTTCCCAACCCCGCACCTCGATTCCTCTCCTGAACTTGTCATCAAAACAAAACACTAAGCCCTCAGTGAATACTATCCTAGCAAGCCACTTTTCTACCCTACCCTTACCTTCTGTGTCACATTACCCCACTCCCTCTAGCATGTAAGCTCATTCAGCAGGGCCCTCAATCCCTCTGTTGCTGTGCATCCAACTCGTCTGGTTACAAATAGTTAGTCCACCCATTGTACAGCGCTTTGGAATTTGTTGGTGCTTTATAAATAATAATAATCCCTTTAATTTGTAATCCTTAATATGAAAACAATCGATAAACTATCTAAATTTCAGTCAAGTTTGAGTTAAAGTAGGCATGTAACCCCCCCGCCACCCCCAATTTCAAACAAATGTAAAACATTTTAGCATTTTATAAACATAAAATGCGCATAAAGACTGTGTTGGAATTTAATTGAAATTAAATTGCAGTCAAAAGATAGTTACTTTGTCTAATGGTAAACCCTCAAATTGACAAAACTTGACAAAAGGCAGAGCTGCTGAGAGTACAGCACTGACGGACGAAGCTACAGGAGCTGAAGATTGAAGTTGGCGGCTCCCACGGGTGGCAGCATGTCTTAATTATAGCTTGCCTCCACTAAACCCCTAGGCCACTGAACACTAAACATCAATATCACCATCAGAGGACTTAGGAAAATATGCAAAGAAAGATTCCAGGTGACTAAACTACTTTAGGGCAGAATAAACGGTCTGTACACCGCAAAATTTTCCACATATGAAGTTTGTTACAAAACCCTGCAAACACAAGCTGGCTAGCCTTGTATCCAGAGATGATGGAGACTCCATAGAAAAAAAAAATAATGGCTTTCCCTTCAGCTCCAAAAATAGAACCAGAGAAATCGAATTGGAGGTTGGGCCTCTAAGATTTAATCAATTTTAGCATCTTAAGGGCGAAACACAATGAGTACTGAAACTATTAAACTGTGAATGAGTGGTTTTTTTTTTTTTACAAAAGTGTATTACGATTTAGGCAGCTGAGACAGTTTATATGATTTCCTCTTCATTATTATTTCTTTAATGTAAGTTTTAAATTATGTCATCCATCATATGGTCCTCTGGCTGAGAACTCCTGGCTGGCATGGACAACCGGCAAGTGTTCCTTTCACCTCGTGCCCTTCTGACACATGCCACTTCCTAGATCTTCAGCGGTGATCCACATGTAACATTATCCATCTGTGAAACACAGGAGACGGGCAACAATTTCAGACTTGTGCCCATCAAGTTCAGCCTTCCTCATATGTTTTTACTGTTGATCCAAAAGAAGGTTAAAAAAAAAACCTAGTCTGAAGCGCTTCCAATTTTGCCACAAACTAGGAAAAAATTCCTTCTTGACCCCAAAATAGCAGTCAGATGTCTCCTTGGATCAAGCAGCTATTAACCAACTAATTAGAAATTATATCCCTGTATGTTATGTCTTTGCAAGTATGTATCCAATTGCAGTTTAAACATCTGTATGGACTCTGATAAAACCACCTCTTCAGGCAGAGAATTCCATATCCTTCTTGCTCTTACGGTAAAAAAAACTTTTCTTTGCCTTAGATTAAATCTAATTTCTTCCAGCCTAAATGCGTGACCTCGTGTTTATGAATAGATTTCCAGATAATGGATTGTATTGGCCCCGAATATATTTGTATAATGTTATCATATCCCCTCTGAGGCGCCGTTTTTCCAAACTAAAAAAAATTAAAATATTTTAACCTTTCTTTGTAACTAAAATGCTCCATTCCTTTTATCAATTTTGTAGCATGTCTCTGCACTTTTTCTAGTGCCATGATATCTTTATAACAGGTGCCCATAATTGCACAGCATATTCAAGGTGTGGTCTTACAAGCGATTTATAAAGAGGCAAAATTATATTTTCATCTTGAGAATTTATGCCCCTATTTATACATGACAAAACCTTACTGGCCTTAGCAACTGCAGATTGACATTGCATATTGCTGTCTAATTTGTTGTCTATAACAATTCCCAAATTCTTCTAGTAGGTGGTTACCTCTAATTCACCACCATTTAGGGTGTAAGTTGCTTGTGCATTCTTAACCCCAAAGCGCATAACTTTGCATTTCTCTACGTTAAATTTAATCTGCCATTTTAGTGCCCAGTCCCTCAATCTATTCAAATCCCTCTGCAGCAAAGCAATTTCCTGCTCACATTTTATTACTTTACAAAGTTTTGTGTCATCTGCACACACTGAAACATGGCTTTCAATGCCTATTTCAAGATCATTTATAAATATGTTAAATAGAAGTGGTCCCAAAACAAAACCCTGAAGGACACCACTTATCACTTTTGTCCAGCCTGAAAATTTACAATTAATGACAACTTGTTGTACTCTATCCTTAAGCCAATGTTCTACCCAAGAACAAGAATATTCATCTAGACCAATTTCTTTTAGTTTGAAGACTAACCTATTGTGAGGAACCGTATCAAATGCCTAGGCAAAATCCAAGTAGATCACATCCACTGCAACACACTGATCTATACTTCTACTTACTTCTTCGTAGAATGCAATTAGGTTAGTTTGACATGACCCTTTGTTTCATAAAACCAAGCTGATTATTGCTAATAAAGTTCTTCCCACTGAATATTATGCCTTAATAGCCCTTCAAATATTTTCCCAGTCACAGAAGTTAAGCTCACAGGTCTATAATTTCCAGGCAAGGATTTGATCCCTTTTAAATGTAGGAACAACATCTGTACAATACCTGAAACAAAAGAATCTTGAAAGATTAAATACAGAGGTTCACTTATTTGCCCACTTAGCTCCTTAAGTACTCGTGGGTGAATACAGTCAGGCCCCGGAGCTTTATTTACATTCATATCCTTTAACTGCTGTAGCACCTTGTCTCAAGTCATCCAATCACAAGTTATCTGCAAGTTTTTTTCAGCAATCATTTGCATATCTCTTGCCAAAGGATCATCATTAATATATACTGAAGAAAAATAGTTATTTAAAATTTCTGCCCTTTTCTGGTTTTTATTAGCTAACAGATCTTTGTTTCCAGTGTACTTACACTTTCATTTTTGTTTTCTTTGGAACTGGTGTACTTGAAAAATTTTGGGGGGCTGGTTTTGCATTCTTTGGCTATCAATTTCTCATTGTCTAGTTTAGCCGCTTTATATTTATGTCAAGAGAAGAGATTTCTAGTAACTATGATTTGCTCCTTAAGACCTTAGGCGTTAAGATGTCAAGACTGATCTATCCATGTCTGAACTCCGGAAGTTAATAAATACAGACGTATTGGATTATTGGAATTCAAGACTGTCAGTCTAATGTCTGTAGGAGCAGATCACCTACCTTACTTTTGGGGAAAAAACTATTTGTATCATATTACGGTTGAAAAAAAATGTATCTCAAACTAATGCATAACATGACAGTATCAGCACCCAGCGTTTAGCAGTATTTTAAAATGCAGTTTATCAGTAAGATGCAATAATTTAAAATTTGAAAATTAAAATTACTCTGGGATTATGTGAGGAGCTAAAAACTACACTTTTACATAATAAAAAGTGCAGAAAATTTTCCTTAAACCGATAAAATAGAAAGATTCTTAAAAATGCCTCCAACATAGTGCAACAGTTTGCTTGGGCTGCTGTGCCTATAAAAATTGACAGCATGTGTGTAAAATATTTATGCCGAGGAAAAGACACAATGATTCTCTAAAAATAAAATGGATATGCTATTGGTTCGAAGTTATTCTAAGATTTTAATTTGGTGTTTATTTGTCTTTTTGGATTAATGTGACAAAATCTAGGAGATAAATATAGTCAGATTGATGGCACAGCCGAGAAAAATAAAAATAAAAATCACTGTGCGTTTCACATTCATATAGGTGTCAGTTTGGATATAGCTGCTGTCTTTGACAACTCCTTGCAATAAAGGTGAGTACATTCAACAGTGGACAGTTGGAGACAGGATCCATTAAATAAGTCTTGACAACTGCTTCCGGATGAAGCCCTATGTGCAAAGAAGCAGACTGAAGAAGAAATTAGGGCATCCCAAAAATAATGCACATTTCTTTAACATATGAATTTATCAATAATTAAAAAGATTTCTACTGACAAGTTTAAAATGTAAAAATATGCTTCCAGCACAAAATAAAGAAACACTATTAGCTACTTCCAGGGTCTCTGGAAAACCTAGGTAGATAGAGGTCTTTGTGTATTAATCGGCCAGCAGAGTTGCTTTTGACTTGAGTTAATAAAATAACTTGAGATGTTCACCTCTGGGTACATGGGAAGTAAACGTGGCCCCATTTATGAAAGTCAAATGTGGTGCCTTCTGACCTTGATTGCATTATTGCTAGTTCAGAGAGCACAATGTGTGGAACTGAAGAAGAAAAACGTGCCCTTAACAATAAATCATATATTTTATATTTAAGGCTGGGTCTGTAGTTGTGGGAGGGGCTTAGTTCCCCATTATAAGGGATTCCAGTCCTCTCCCACTTTACTATGGTTGGTCTGGCGAGTTGCAGGCTGATGAGACGGTCTGGTTCAGTACAGAACCATCTACTTCCAGTTCAAGGGTCATCAACACAACCTGCCTAAACTCCAAACAAGCTGGCCTTGGCCTAGT